TTCTTGCAATAACCACCTTTAAAAATAATTTATTTGTGAAATTCAAGTTACCAAATCATACATGCATTTGGTGCAGGATACATCTAACAGGCACACAAGATCTAGTAATGTCATTGCTATCCAAAACATTTTGTCTAAGGAAATAATCCAGCACATATTGTCAAAAAGATAGCTAGCTTGTCAGTTATGGGAAAATAAAGAGACACAGAATTGCATATGTAATGATTTTTTTCTAGGAAAATGTTTATGTCTTCATAAGTTCACCCACATTTTAAATCCATCCAATAATAATTGTAACTTTGAAATAACTACCCTTCATGATCATATTGCAATCTGATAAGATAGGAATGGAAGTCCACTTGGCAAGGTATAAGTAATACTATTAGGTTGATTGTTGAATGTGTTCATAAATCAATAACTTGTCTCTTGGAGCCTAAAATACAATCCAAACTTTGCAGTTTGTAATGAAACGGTTTTGCCATTCTTGTTGATTCTCATATATGTTAAAATTGCACAATTATATTGTCTTATGCAACTTTAGTAGCCACTGTCTTCTGAAATTGGGGCTAACCACCCCAAGAATTTGGCTGAGTCATATTCACATTTATATTTGATGACCGAAAGGGTTCAGTCACTTAAACATTTGAATAGTCCATTAAAAGTATATTTCACATTTGGAAAGGGCCTTGTTATGAATAAAAATATACAGGTTAAAAACGTAACATATCAGTAAAGTCAGATGAGCCAATGACTAATGATTTGTTTCCTCGATTATAAGAAATGCTTAGAAACGTGGCTTCCAGGGTCTGGGCTTCCTTCTGATTATGAAACCACTTCCTGTCTTCCTTTTCTTTGACTTCTTTGAGGCTAAAGACAACAAAATAATAATTAACATCATATGGCTTTAGCCTGTTCCTCACTTTAAATCAGTTTTCCCAGAATGCTTTCCATCTCCCCTCATTCCGTCTACCCTGATTATGAAGTCAGTTCAGCTCATTAGGCTTTCAGTTTTATTGGTCTACACTTGAAACTGGGAGGCCATGACTATTGTCCGCCACAGCTAGCCAGTATAGGCCTCTGGCAAACCAAATCAGAACACAAGTACTGCTTTTGTAGGGTTAGTCTAAAAGTGGCCATTTGGCTCTAGAAAAAAAATGGACACAGAAAAATATAATTTTCCTTTTGAATTATTCAATACCTTTGCTTGATGACTGAATAGGAAGATCTTTATTACCTTTAGTGCAAGCATGGTCGCAATCATCCAGGTAATAGAAGTTATTTTCATTTCCACCGCAGCCGGTGTAGGTGAAGGTCTCACAGGCTTTGTTTCTTGAATTAAAATAGTAGCGTGTCACATTGGCAGCACAAAGGCCTTCATCTTTTGGACTGGAGCAAAATGATGGGACTTCGTGAAAAAGAAAAAGAAATTAGAAATAAAGTGACACCAAACTAAGAGATGGTAATGGTTTGTGGGCTGGCTGAAGAAAATCCCAAAACAGGCCTCATTCTGAATTCCAAAAACTGAACCATTCAAAAAAGGTGTGTCTCAGGTTATAGGGAAGGTTACCTGCTTCATTTTGTTCTTTCTGTCCTTTATTAAGTTAAAAATTTAATGTTGAGATATATGCAGTATGTTTATGTCACCACTCCCCCAGTTAACACTTCCCAAATCCATCCTTCTCAGTTTCACAAGCTCAAATAATTCTTTCTAAGGCTGTCTTTTGCCTTTCTATGTAAAAAGAAACTAATCCTTTAACTTGACTGGTTAAAATAGGCTAAGTTCCAAAGGTTAGTATGTGGCATACTTTGACAAATTTTCTTAGGCTGGTACCAACCACTGAAATATTTACATACATTCAATACTTAATTCTGTATGTTCAACCCAGTACAGCCACAGAGGCCCATCACAGTTTGCCAAAGAAGACTTCAGGATTTAACATTTAAAATCTATGTGTCTCACCATCCTTGAGGAGCAGGTGGGGGTGCATTGGGTAGGTTGGTAGGGGGCATGGGAGAATGGGGGGGAGAGGGAATGGGGGATTGATATGCAAAACGACTGTTTCTAAATAAAAAAAGAAAACAGTCTATGTATCTCTGCTCTATCTGGTGGAAGTGGCTTAAGAAATGGGGAAAGGAAAGAAGAACAGAACACTCTGATATAATTTGTAATGATCAAAGTATAGAGAAGTTTAACCACTCTTAATCCTAAAAAGTCTACTGTCTCATACACAAAACTACCTCCCTACATTTTTGAAGTCTTGACATTTATTATTGTCTATTATATTTTTATCAGTTCCTTTAGCTGGTATAAAAACTGGTTCCATTTTATGGCATTTCATGAATTGTTGTGCTTATATCTCCCATCTGTCATCACCAACACTACTACTCCATTTACTTCTCTCCAAGAGTCCCTGCTCCCTCTTCCTATCTATCTATCTATCTATCTATCTATCTATCTATCTATCTATCTATCTATCTATCTGAAAATATGAGAATAAAGCATTATATCTCACCCTTGTTCTCCCCTTGTAACCATTAGATGCCTTCCACTAACTTTTATGTATAAACTGAAGACGTGGATAATACAGTATGAATATCCCTAATCAGAAAATTCCTTGGGACGAATGTGATTCATACTGCAGGGTATCTCCATTTTTGGAGCATGGACATTTCCATCATGAGACCCGCAGATAGGGGTTGAGATGCAATTCCAAACAAGAAGTTCATTGCGTTTCACATCCACCTTCTTTGCAGGATTTGAAGACGATTTAATGCAATCCTGTTAGTGAGCCTGTTTTTTGGCTGTTACTCATCAGTTGCCGTCAAGTATGGACATTTCCATTGTAAGTAAGGTCAGTGCTGAAAACTTTCTGATTTTTGAGTTTTTTACATTTCAAATTTTCTAATTAGAGATGGTCAATAGGTGTTCTCCAGAAACAAGAGAAAAGTAGCAACATTTTGTTAATGGCTTTGTCACAGTCCAGCTTTGAGAATCTTGCATATCCTCATTAACCCTCAGCTTGTATCCACATATGGAAATATAAGGAGATAGTGCTTCCTTCAGGGCAGTAGTTGTGAACATTGACACAGTCTAGGTTTGATTCCAGAGAAACACACAGAAGCACACACACTTGCACATGCAATATCACATAACTGTGCAACCTCTGGCATGCAAACCATGTAATTTCAGACCAAATGATTGATTTTCCCATAAAAACTTAGCAGAAAACTTGAAATGGAAGCACCACAGATAAAGCACTCACTTTTGCTTGGTTCGCAGAAATCCTTACAAGTCTCTTCATCAGGGAATGTGTTCATAGTTGTACTACACAGATCAGGCTGAAGAGCTTCGCATGTCATGGTCCTCAGATTGAAGAAATACTGCACGTTGGGTTTGTCACATGGATACGTTTGGAGTTCTAACCGACAAACTGGAGGAACTTCTGGGGGAAAGGGAGAGGTGATAAAACATATCACTCAAAGATGTCTTCTGTAACTTTCTTTCCTTCTGCCAGCCCCAAGTAATAACATGGAGACTTCTTATCAATTATAAAAGCTTGGCCTTTAGCTTAGACTTGTCTCAACTAGCTCTTATAACTTAAATTAACTCATTTATATTAATCTGTTCTATTATATGGCATTACCTCTCTTTCACCTTACACGTCCTGTTTTTCCCTCTATCTGGCTGGTGACTCCACCCTTCTTCCCAAAGTCCTTTCTGTCCCACCTACACCTCCTGCCTAGGTATTGGCCATTCAGCTTTTTATTATACCAATCAGAGCAATACACCCTCACACAGTGTATAAATATCCCTCCCACAACATTCTTCCTTGGCCACTATCCAAAAACAAACAAGAGCTATAAGGAGTTGGGGCAAGAAGAATGGACCCTTATTCATTGCTGATAAGAATATAAACTGGTATAGACACTATGGTAGTCAGTGGTTGGGTGTGTGTGTTTGGGAGGGATCCTACAAACATAGAAATAGTAATATTATGTGACCCAACTCGATCACACTCAAGAGACCTCGGTGTACACACCACAGAAAGATTTTCATATGTATGTTTGTTCCTGTACTCTTCATAATAACTAAAGAACAGAGACATCCTAGCTGCCCAACAACAGATGAATCTTTAAATAAATATGGCTAAATGCACAAGGGAATGTTTCTCAGATGAAGAGCTTGATGAAGTCATGACGTTTCCAGAGAAATGAGTGAAACTGGAGATCATCCCGGAAAACAAACCAAGTCCCACTCAGAAAGACAAACACCGTGCATTTCCCCTCACATGCAGAATCTGGGCTGAAGTTTATGTGTGGAAAGGTGGACAAGTGAGGCGGGAAAGGAAGCTAGAAGCGGGGGTGGGGCAAAGAAAGCGTACAGAGTGCAAGGGCTATGAGAGCTGAAAGGAAGGACCACCAGCAAAATCGGGTGCTGGGGGAAGGAGATAAAGTTCAATGACATGTATGGATGAAGAAGCCCACTGCTTTGTATGCTACCCTAAGAATTTAAAGATGACAAAAATCAAAACAGCCTTCTAAGTAGTACTTTCAAAACTTTACCATAATTTCCAAAACTACTGTGTGTGGAGAGGGGGTGGAGGGGAGGTGATAACCTTATTTCATATTAGAAGGGTAAATTCCAAAAGTCTGTCCATTCATCATAAGGTAAGCTTTTAGACCGTGTGTGAGGCCTGACTCAGCAATAACGTGGCTTTCAAGTTCAATAGAAAGACTGTTCTCTGATCATTTCTGCATCAAAGTTTATTCACTTCAATACACATTTCCTCCCGGCTAAGTACACTGTATCATCCTTAATAGATATAATTATAAAATGGCAAAGTAAAAGACTCGTTAGGCTCAGCTGTCCTGATATCGGGTAACAAAAGCAAAGTTATATCACGAGTGAAATCACACTTCAAAAGTAAGAACCGATAAAAGCAGTCCACACGGAAGGGTAACTGACAGGAGAATACAGGGGTCTCAAAGGCCGTATTTCTGGAACTAATAATACAGAACGTATTTATGTCCTCCCTTTGCGTTTATGATGGCTTAAGATGGGCTCATTCCTCCTTCCCAAAGTTCATGTAGGCACTGCATTGCAATGGACTCTGGTAGTGAGCTGAACTCTGGTTGTGGTTGTAGATTAGGGGTTACCTTGGGGAAACTTAAAAGCAGTCATGCGAGAGATGGGCACAAAGTCCCACCTCTAACAAAGGAGTTGATGTTGGGGCAAAGTCCGTTTTCTTTAAAGGCAGTGAAGGCCACACATCCTAGAGTATATGGACAGCATGAACTCTACTCTGTAGGGCTTGGGGGGAACACAAAGTTGGGTCGGTTAGAAAGGGGGCGTGGATCTGGAAGAAAGTAGGTGAAAATGATCAGAAGATATTTTCTGAAATTCTCAAAAGAACTAATAACAAACGGGAGTGGGGTGGGGGAGGAGCCAATGAAGTTTGTTCAGCACTTTGGAAACATTAGAAAAGTTAATGGACTCAACCGGACTTGGAAAATGAGCTGAGCTCTGACCCTCCCCTTGGGGCAGACGCTGGCTGAGGCCGGTGCACCCAGAACACTTACTCTCGATACTCCCGCACGTGTGTTCACAGAGCTCCTTAGTGTGGAAATTGTTTGCGTTGCCCAGGCAGCCTCCGTACTTGAATTTTCGGCATTTCTGCTGGTTCCTATCATAGTAGAACCTGGAGATGAGGGCCCGACAAGGTCCCTTCTCCAAGGGCAAGAGGCAGATCTCTAAATTGTCCCCTGTAATCAGAAGGAGAGCAACAGGACAGAAGATCAGATTTGGTGCTTGACAGGGCCTGGAAGGTCTGGTTCCAGAGCTCATCAGCAGAAGTTTCTATGCACGTCTTCCCTCGGTGGAGGCAGGGACCTGGGACAGACTAGCAAGTAAGCCAGTCCCTGGGCAGCGGGAGAAAAGGGGTATGAGGGGTCCTGGTCCGATACCTTGGGCGGATGCTGAAGCAAGACCGCGAGCGGAGCCCACCAGAAGCAGAGGCAGAAGCCACAGCGGCAGGGCCGTAGCAGGGTCCATAGTGCCGGGTGGAGGTGTGGCTCCCTGGACGTGCACAGGGAGAAGAGCGCCAGTCGCCCCGCCAGCCAGCCAACTAGCAGGGGAGCCGCTTTTAAGGACCGTCCCTGGACCCCCGACGGGGCGGAGCGCAAAAGTGTTGCTGATTCATGCCTGAGGCAATGGCCCATTCCTCCCCCGCGTTCATTGTGTCCCAAGAGGAATTTCCCGGGAGTTGAGAAGTTGAACCTAACTCCCTGCAGCCAGGGGAGATACCCAAGGAATGCCTGTGTGTCAGTAATGGGAAACTGGCTAGCCAGAGGGAAATGACCCACCAAGGATTGCTCAATATGTCAATTTGCACCTTTGCCTCAAAGAAACTTTAATCCCAGAGGACATTTAGTGAGAGCTGAGGGAAAGACAGATCCATTGTTCTTACCTAAGCCGGTTCATCACCCTGGACTCCAAAGATTGGTAATCTCTGTCTATACCTGGAATCCAACCGGATGACACTCAGTAGAAGTTTGTACTCAGTTTTTAAGGGTAGGGGCTGATGGAATGTATTCCATGAAAAGTTACCACTCAAATCAAGAATCACAATGCATTTTCTTGTCTTTTGAGACAGTTCCATGGATCCTAGTCTGGTTTTGAATTCACCGTGTAGTCAAGGATGACCTTGAATTTTTTATCCTCCTGCCTCTGTATCCTCATTGCTGAGCCAAGGCAAGGGCAGCTGGCTCGTTTGATTTCTGTGCCCATAGATAAGTTTTATCCATTCTTTAATTTCATATGCATGAGATTGTAAGGAAGTAGCCTTTACTTTTATGCTTTTGTCTTTTCTTTTCATTATTTATTTATTGCTGTTTGAAACAGGATCTAATGTAGGCCAGACTGACTCCAGTTTGCTATGTAGCAAGGGATGAATGTCAACAAGGGCCTGATCCCCCTTACTCTACCACCTCCTAAATGCTGAGACTAAAAGCCTATGTCATTGCACCTGCCTTATTGTTTGTGTTTCTTCTAAACTATTTTTTTTATTTGTTTGGGTATTTTTGTTTGTTTGTTTTTTGAGACAGGGTTTCTGTGTGTAGCTTTGGAGCCTATCCTGGCACTCGCTCTGGAGACCAGGCTGGCCTTGAACTCACAGAGATCTGCCTGCCTCTGCCTCCTGAGTGCTGGGATTAAAGGCATGTGCCACCAACGCCTGGCTCAACTACTTTTTTGGTGATATATGTAGCTGTGTTAGCAATCGTTCAACTTTTAAATCCAACATACAAATACCATGAAGTTTCTAGTCTGAGCCAATGAATGCAGAGGCTTTGTGCGGAGATTTGGTTTTCACTAATCTTGTGTGGAGAAGTATTAGATACTGCCACACCATTTTCCAAGACGACGGTTACACTGGTTTACACACTGGCTGGTGTTGAAGCTTTGGCCAACCCTTTCCCACATATCCCCAATCAGCAAAGCTAATAAAGTCCACTATTCTTTAGATATATTAGACTAGAGCCAATGTTTTGCTTATACAAGAAATGTCAACATTGAAAGTTTATACAAGATTAATAGGGACATTTGAGGCAAACTTTTAAGGACTCTCTTGATAAATATGTCTCCCCTTCTGCCCCATTTTCTCTTGTTTTATCTGACATTATCTCACGAATTCTTGATTTTTCCTGAAGATTCTAGGAGGAGTTCAAAAAAGAGCTCTTTCCAGTCTGGAAAATTCCTAAAACTACAGCACACAGTGGTTCACAATAGGTCATTCCTCTGGGATATTTTGCACATTATAACTTGTTCTGTTTTCAGTTGAATTGATGTCAAAGGGGAGAGCCACATTCCTAAGAAACCTAGTAGTGTGGTCTGCAAGTGCCATTGGTGTTACTAGATAATGATGATTAAGAACAATATGCAGAACTAGCAAGGTAAATGCTTAATTAGCCACCAGCTGGGTGGGAGAGAAATTGAAAGAATGAAAGTGGGGGCTGTTGTCTCACTTACTGATTTACATGTTGTGTTGGTGACCAGTTTTAATCCACCACTGGAATGAAGAGCTGGGCAGAGGTGAACATGCTCTGTGAGCCAGTGTGAACCAGCTGAGTGCATGCATAAATCACAGAGACAGCCAACAGGTTCTGGAGGACAATCAACATGCTCCCACATTCGTGGGAGACTGGGATTAGTCCCTCCTAGTACATTCCATATACTATCAGAAAAGGGGAATTTTAGGGAATATTTCACCAGGGTCATGTTCTGAAGGAAAGTTAACTTCAAATTTAAGTATTCCCTTTCTGAATACATCTCCGAAATGGATTACAAGAAACATCAAAGGCAGGACTGAAGGAGAGTTTTACTTCAGTGCTGATGGCTGTCATTTCTTTCCCTAATTCTCTGCTAGTGGGCCGGTTTTAGTCAGCTGTTGCTGCTATAAAAACTGAGCCTTTTGAATTGGGGCAGCCATTTAGTGTTCTTTGGAAGCTGGATGCTGTGTTGGGGGAAATACACTTGGAAATCAGAGATCTGGATTTTATTTCATGGTCTCTGAAACTCTTTGAGCCTCAGTTGTTTTCTCAAAAAGAAAGGTGCAGGGCTGTGTTGAGATGTGGGAGGAAGGTTAGATGGAAAGGGTCTCAACACACAGAGAGATCTCCAGCCTCTTGTAGGATCGCACAGAGCCTGCCCACGTTACACTTAGCCAAGTTCCCATTGACAGCCTTGGCACATTACTTACACATGGTGTGGTAGCCTGGGTCAGGAAGCAGTAACAGGGACTGTCCTTGTGGGACTGAAAGTTATGATCGTCTTCTTGTCAGAGCTCTCAGTGGGCTGAGCTTAGAGGGCACAACTTTTCACAGAAGGGGTCATACTTGGATATCACCTTGCAGTGATTCCAAAGGAGCAAACTTCTCAGCCAAGGAAGGGTAGCGTTCTGTCAGTACTCTTAGAGCAAAGGACTGGAGGGTGGAATTGGGGTTGAAGAGGCCTCTTCTTTCTCTGTGGTGTAACACCTTTAGGCACAGGGTAGAGATGCTCCAGGTGTGCTAGTTTCCTACTCCATTTCTGTGCTAAATGGGATGCATCCTGAAGGTTGCTGTGACCGTTGACTGACGAATGAGAGTTGAAGAAGAGGGATAGTTACAAGTCAGGTTGCTAGGGCGGAATTCACTCCTTAAAATTGAAGAACACGTGTGTGTTTCATATCCACGAGAAAGATATCTTCCAATGGAAAGGGGATTTAAATGTATAAGGGTGACTCTGATTTTACAGAGCTAACACTTTGGGACATGTGGAAGGAGCAAAGTGACTTCCACAGCCATGTGGAATGCCACGTCCTTGTACTTAAAGCAGTATCTAGGTCAAAAGGTTTCCACAAGCCTGAGGAAAGCCATTCCTTTGTCCAAAGTCAACAGGAAGTGGAAGGCTGTGAGGGAACTGGCAAAATGTCTTCCTGATTGACTCATTCTTAGTATAGCAAGTGACAGTCATGGTGGCTGTAGCTAAAGAGACACTCAGAAGTTTAGAATCCTGCAAAATATGTGTCCCAGGGTTCTTACGATTTCACTATCATAAGAAATTAGAAGTATGTTGATTTTACACAGACATAAACTGAGACACAGGATCCTAAAGTACATGGTCATGTTCATAAACTATGGTTGCTTGTAGAGCTCAGATTAAAACCTAATGTGCTCCAGTCCCAGCCCTGTATTCTTTCCAGCTTCCAGGCCTGCACTTGCTGTGGATCAGTGAATACTGGGATTAAATACAAAAGCTCTGGTGAAGTCCTGAGCCCTCAGGAATAGAAGATTCCTGTTCTTGATTCCTCTCGCACCAAACTTGGCCATGACAAATGAATCTGAAGGAAATCTGGATTGTATTGACATCTATAGTTTGCAGTTCTGTGTGACATCCCATCCTCTGACTGCCCAACAGGCTTTAATGTTGACGGAGAACTTACAGAAAGAACTGAGGCAACAGATCTGTCTTTGTTAGACAAAAATGTCTAGGTCACCAGCAAATGATTGGAATTAGTTGAACTACGTGACTCAGGCCACATGCTCTAACTTCATTTTAAGGAGTTAAAGTGATAATGACTAAGAAGTAGAGAGGTCTTTCTACCTGTCAGTGAAAACTGTCAGAAGAAGATTGGAAGTCAGTCCAGTAAGAAGTAGGGAGGAGTTTACACATCTGCTGAGGAAGGTGGATAATCTCCTCTGAGAGATGAGAGTCAGGAAGGCTTGGTTAAATACAGCCCCGTCAAATAGGTATTTTCTCAGTGAGTCAGGCCAGATGGAACATAGTTTCTCTAATGCTCCCCCTGTCAGACTGCAAGTACATTTGAGAATATAATGCACCATGGATCCACCCAAAATGTTGTACTGTCTATGACTAATGCTTATCATTCCTGCTTTCTCTCCAGAGCAAGAGATAAATGGGGTATATAATGTATCTCCAATTGTGGTCATTCTTACAATCACTGAATAAAATAATATGGTTAAGTGTTCAAAATGTACCAAACTGTGTCCTAGTTGTTTGAGATAAGGAAACAAAAGCACTATAGATTCTACAGCATAACAGTACACAGGGATGAAAACTATACAAGCCAGTTCAATGAAGTACTCTCAATAAGATTTTAAGAATATAATATATTCCAGATTTTCTCATCACTGGGTTGATTTTGTTGATTGCTTTGGGTGCTTTATCTGAGTCCATATAATGTTGAGGATTGGACTAAAATATAAACTCAAATTTAATTTTTTCATATATAATTTATATACATATACAGAAAGTAGTTTTATACAATATTTTAGAATACTTGCATTTTAATCTGTTACATATATGTATATGTGTGTGAGAGAGAATTTTACTTAGTTGAAATCACATAAAAGTGTCTTTTAGACTTGAATTTAAGTCATGCCAAATTTTGCTTTTTGGACAAAGGAAAGGAATATATTTAATTAAGAAAGAACTGTCAAATAAGTAAGGACAAGGATGAAAACGTGACATGAAGAACAGTAAGACGGACGGACTATCCAACCACGAGGAGGAAGAAGTTAATAAAATCAAACAGATGAAAAAGTTAGAAAACACGGAGATCAAAATGTATTGTGTGACCTTTGTGACTGCTCTTCTGAGTGTCACA